AGGCTACAGTCGGAAATTAACAGCAGATGTACTGCAGTTCTTTTCTTCGGGGGAACATAAAGCCTGTGAATCACCACCCACCACTTTGGGAGGTGAAACTCACTTGGCTTTTGGCCAGAGCTTTCACGGCAGCAACAGTATGCATGGAAGGCTGTGGATGGCCCCAAATGTCACCTGCCTCAGCACACAGGTCAGCCCAGCACCTTGAAAGAAGCACCAGGCCCCTACCAGGGAAGGAGACCCTCTGATGGGCCGATCAAGATCCAAGTATAAACATCCATTCAATTACAGCCTCAGTCAACTAAAACAGAATTCAGATCAGCCTCATTTCAATTGGATTTTTTTTAACTAATCGAATACCTCTATAGTAATGTGCTATGTGCCAGGCCTGTACATCAAAAATACTTTACGTACTTAAAAATATTAACAGGCCCCATGCAAGTCTGGGTCAATCTGAAAATAATTTTTCTCCATCAACTTTAATTACGTTCTTAATTTTTCCATTACAGCAGCTGCGTTTGCGAACACCTAGAATAAATTCTAGACCAAGTGTGCAGGGGAACTCGGTTGCCAACCTGATGTAGAACGAATGGTTTTCTTTTCTCTCCACCTACACGGTACCTCTGCTTCGTGACCAAAATGCTACAGAATCGCCGGGGAGCGCTTCCCAGCCGCAACCACACACCCACTCCGTTCAAGAACCTGGGGGATCTGTGTTGGACCGTGGACAGCTTGAGGACCAGCGGGCTGCACCCTCGGCCCCAAATTCCAGGGCAGGGTGGACGGCTAGAGTGGCCACCTTTGTGGACACTGCTCCCAGGTTGCAGAGAGGCTGCAGGGCCCCCTCCCCTCCCCACAGTTTCAGGCTATCTGGAGGCGAGAGCTAGGGAAGGGCCCTCTCTCTTCAGCCTGGACCCTGACAAGAGGCACAAAGAGAATGTAAGGAAGCCTTGGAGGTGAAGGAGCCGTACATCAAATTCCTGTCCTGATCACAGTGAAGGACGGTGCCGATGAGCGAGATGACAGCCCCCTGCGAGCCTGGCTTGTTACGAAACACACCCTCAGAATGCAAATCTAAGAAACAACTCCTGTCCCGGGCATGCACGTGGACTTAGGGTCGTCTTGGAGTCAGGAGCCAACCTAGCATCACAGACTCTGTGAACCACAGAAGCCGTTGACGATGAAGCTACGGAGGAGCAAACGGGGCGACTTGCCCAACGTTAGAGTTGGCAGAGGGCAGAGCCGGGGCGGCTCCGGGTTCCGCTGGGTGTTTACTGTCTCCGACGCGGGCCTGCCCTCCCATCCTGTGCTGGGGCCGGGCTCTGCATACTCCATTTCCCGAATCCCCGGCCGGCGGGTTGGGCTCGGAGAAGAAGCAATGGTAAGAGAAGGAGGGCAGGAGGAGGAGGGAGGGGCTTTCTTCCTTGTTCTGGCTCCGGTCAGATATTTGCTACAATCGTAGCCATGTCCCCTTTTTGCTACTTCGGCCTTCTCGCAGTAACTCACCTCTGTTGTAATAGTTGACAACAAACCCTACCCAGGTTTTCTTCCCGGACCCTGACTGAGACAGTACTTGGTATCGAGAGCTGGTGTGTCTACCACTTTGGCACAGTATGTCCTACCCTGAGCTACGTGCTGCTTCCTGGTCAACAGGTCCAATGTCATGGACCAGTGTGATGAGCAGCAAGACAAGCAAGATCTCTGCAGACGAGATTATAAACAAGGACAGAAAAATGGACGTAGCCCGGGTATTATGCTGATTTCTTAAGTTAGCAGCTGTACATTTCTCCTTTCCAAGTTATTCTATTTAAATGCTAATACATAAAAATCAGTATCAAGGGCGCCTGGGTGGCTCAGTCGTTAAGCGTCTGCCTTCGGCTCAGGTCATGGTCCCGGGGTCCTGGGATCGAGCCCCGCATCGGGCTCCCTGCTCGGCAGGAAGCCTGCTTCTCCCTCTCCCACTCCTCCTGCTTGTGTTCCTGCTCTCGCTGTCTCTCTCTCTGTCAAATAAATAAATAAAATCTTGAAAAAAATCAGTATCAAATTCACTTTATTAACCAGAATGGGACCTGAAAAATTCTTTTTAAAGTCAAAGCCATTCTCTAGCAGCACCTGCTTAGTTTGAAGCAAGTGAGGAAATCCGAACAACTATGGACTCTCCACTAGATGGCAATCAATCATCCCATAAATGTGAATTAGACTCCCATTACCCTAGTAGCCAACAAATGGATTCAGAGTCAGTTGTGTTGATTATAAGCAACAGTCTTATGTTTACAGTGCTTGATGGCAGTGGTTACATGTATTTACATTTGGCCCATTCCTAAAAGATACAAATTGGCATTTTCCAGGACCCTGCTATCCTTTTAAAGCCCAGATATCTCAAGACTCATCATTCTGGATAGTTTTTTATCACCACCAATCACTCTCAAACCAATATAGAACTTTAACTTAACAAACTAACCAACAGGTTAAATAGTAGGAATAAACTAGCAGTTTATCTACTTTCTTAAATTTCCTATGTTCCGTGCATGCTAGTTTGGGAACTTTTCAGAAAGATGAACTTTATTTTTTTCTTAATTTTAAAAATTATTTTAAGATTTATTTGAGAGAGAGAGTGTGTGTGCACAAGTGGGGGGCGGGACAGAAGGAGAGGGAGACAACCCCAAGCAGACTCCCCACGGAGCACAGAGCCCGACACAGGGCTCCATCCCACAACCGTTGAGATCATGACCTGAGCCGAAATCAAGAGTCAGACATTCCAATGACGAACCACCCAGGTGCCCCAAAATAAACTTTATGGGCCAAAAAAAGCATTCCCAGACACTGCCAAATGTCCCCCGGGGAATGTTCCCTGTCGAGAACCGCTGGTCTAGCCACTGCAGGCTCCACTGGGGGGAGTCAAGGCGCCCACTTCCATAGGCAGGAAGAGAGGAAACACGGGAGGGACTGAGCCTTTCATGTCCACTTCCGTTTCCCAAACTCACTATCAAGAGAAGCCACCCCTGTTCCTCTGAAGAGGTGAGTGACGGGACAGCAGAGGCCAAGCGTCATCCTCCAATTTAAAGTCCCCCTGACTCCAGGGCCAGTCTCCTGAAGAGACTTCCTTCTCTCCTTCATTTTTCACTCTATTCTCTACCTTCTCTCTGCATACCCCCCCCCCTCTACTGCATCCCCCTCCTGTCCTCCGAAGGCCACCCAAACAGCCCCATCCACCCGGGAGGACGATGGGGCCTACGGAGAACAGGCTGCCAGTGGTCAGAGTGAGTGACAGCCAGGACGCGCCGCCTCATCCTCAGCCGTGTGGCCCGCGGCAGCAGGTAAGCCAACGGTGGTGTCCTTCAAAAGCCAACTCACAGTGTGACAGGGGGGCTCGCCTTTAATGACATATGTGGCTTTATTCTGGTTTCCGTTTTTAATTTGGGGAGATAATCAAGTAGCAGATTTCTGAGATTTTGAGACGTGACTTACCGTTCATGCTCCCAAGAGAAATGCTGGTTCTGTCTCCAGGTCCTCAAGCCTTTAGCAGCACGAACGCTCACTTGTGTAACGTCCAGCACCGAACTTGACACCAGCCCACACGTGCGTCCCTGGGACCAAAGCCCAGGCCAAAAGGGCTCACAACTGTCTCACGTTTAAAGCCCCCCTCTCTTGAAAACAGTGCGCTCACACCATGAGAATGTTGGGCAGGTGTGCTGTAACCTTGAACAAAAGGCAAAACTGGTACTTTTTCTTCCAGTGAAAATTCAGTTTGTTGGTCTGTGTTCTTGCAAAATCAGGGTTTTTAAATTCTTGGGAATTGGGTGGAATGAAATCAGGTCACTTTTCTTACCAACCAGCAAAAACGTATGGAACTGTACAGAAACGTGAGGAACACAGACACATTAGATAGGGTCCCTCCACTCCGAGAGCACGCAATGCCAGGCGGGAAAACCTAACAGCAGTTGAGGATGGCAGCCACCCAACATGGGTACTGACTGCGGGCACGAGGGCAGGGAAGTGGAAGGAGGGCTTTATGCCAGGTCCGTAACGAAGACGGAATTCTGAAAACAGACAAGAGGATGACAATTCCAGGCCGAAGGGTAAGAGCAAAGGTACGGAGATGACAAAGTGCGCTGTGCGTTTCAGGTTTGGTTTGGGTTGGGGGCTTGTCAGGCAAGTTAACAAGCTTGGAAGCCAGATCGGGGCCGGCCCGGAGGCTTTCTACATCAAGAGTTTGGACTTCGGCTGGAAGGACATAGGGGACACTCAGGCTTCTGGCCAGCGCTAGGCGGCTGGAAGGTGAGCAGCGGTGTGCACACAGGAGACGGGCAGCCGAGCTGGGCGTGGGGGTGGGAGGGAGAGCCGCCAAGCCAGGCCGGGGCACGCTTACTTTAGCAGTTGTAACAATGAGAGACCAAACACCCCAAGATAGATAGAGTTCATTGATAGACCATGTCTCCAGCTGACGAAGGACCTTCGCCTCCATGATCTCATTTCACCCTCAGAACAAATTGTAAACAGTTGTCACATTTCACAGGTAAGGAGCCACCTGCTGCTCAGGAACGAGAGTCACTTCCGGCAATGCTGCCTTCATTGGTTTGGGGGCACTACCTTCTTCTTTCCTCCCCGGCCCGTTATTCCCACTCAGGAAAGGCTTGCTATTCTGTATTTCCCCGTAAGTAGAATGGTCACGGGCCTCTCGTCTTCTCCGGCTTACCCTCCCATTAGCTGGGCTCACCTCCTCCTACGGTTTCAGCCATCACTTATGAACGGACATCTGCCCGGTCTCCCCCGCAGAACGTGGAGGTAAATGAATCCTAGACGCTCAGTATTTTTCAGTATTTTGTTTTGATTCCTTTTTAAAATCTTTTTTAACATGGCCTTAATTTCAAGTAGCTTCAAATCTCTCTCGGAAAGCAAGAGAAGCTCAAAGTCTGATTCTGAATGATGCTGACGAGAATCCTATGCGGCAGGCAAGCCAAGTATTGTTAGTCCAGCTTTACAATTCACTCACTCACTCGCTGATTTGTTCAAACGTTTATTGAACACTTTTGATGTGCCAGGCCTGGTGCAAGGCCCTGGGTGTAACAATGAGTAAGACAAAGCCCCTCCAGGAGCTCACAGTCTAATGGTAAACTACTGAGTAAACTGAGGCACAGAGTGGTAAATGACTTACCCAGTGAGGTAGAGAGAGCTAGGTACTTGGAAATGTGGGACCAGAGCTGGAGAGAGGGCAGGGTACCACTAACTCATCAAAAGCAAACCCCTTTGATTGAAAAGCAAGGCTGCATACAGAAACGTATTACAAAATCTGCTTGCAAAAAGGTTAAAATAGTTTCCAATTTTCATCATGATTAAATTCATGTCTTGCAATGAATTAAGCCATTACCTGACAGTATTTCTATACTTGTCCCTAAAGCTTTAGGGCATGCCACCAGTCGGCTGAGACACAATAACCCTGTAGGGAGCTTGAAATCAAGAAGTATCAGATTTCAATTTCAGCACTGGGAACCACATTGAAATCCTTTAATTAAATCCATGAACTTTAAATGTATAGCATATTTATGATACTTCTACATGTAGAAGTTTGGAAAAAACTTTCCTCTAACCCCCATTCAGAGGATTCTAATAAGTTATAGATACCACAGAAATTAGAGAATTTGTCTGTTACTTTCCATATATACATTATTTTGGCTGTACAAGGGTGAAAAGTCTGACTTAGACATATTACATAAGTAGCCTAAACATGATACAGATATATACAAAGACATCACATTCAGACGCCCGTGTACACCCATCGAACGTTTAACAGCTAACTGCAGACGTGAACCTGTGTAAGGCAATTTCTTTTGCGGTAATGACACATGATCCTTGAAGGAAAGGGCGCAGTCCGCGAAGCACTGTCCGCTTCAGGCCTGACCTCTGTCTCCGCAATTCTCTTCGCGATGAAGTGAGTTCGGTAGGCAAGATGTCTATCTCACTGACAAAAAGCAGTGAGTAATTATAAAAAGAGTTGTTTTCAAATGCAGAAACCATAATTATCCAGTAATCGAAGTAGTGAACTTCTCGAAGCCACTACCGGCCTTCATACTGTGACAGAACCAGAGTTTCACGGATGATTTATTGCTCTGAGAATCAAATGTGATGCATAATTCATCCACACGGGATGTTCCCCAGGAACTCAGTACGCGAATTCTCAAACGCCATCAGTTGCTCACTTCAAGCAATTCTTCACTTTGTTGCGGAGGATTTTCTTCTGAAAAATAACACCCATGCAAGAGATTCTCCTGAGTGAGGGTCTGAGAGGTAGACGGGCAAACAGAACGTATAACTCGAGTGCTTAAGGAAAAGGCTGAAGACCCCTGGTCACGACACATTGTTATGCTAACGGCCTAAGGCTACCGTAGAGTCTCACAAGAATGAACTGGAACTCAAACGCGCACTGACAGCACCCGCCAGAGGATGGCGACGGGCCTTCTCTGCCCGGACACCACACCAGGTGGCACCACCACGGCATCAAAACTATATGGAATTTAACTCTCAAATTGTTGGAAATAGTCTAAACTGTAGTTACGAATTACCCAGTCATTCTTTAACTCACTTGTTTGTGGCTAGACAGGGTAAAAATATCTGTAAGAGCACAAAAAGGCTACACGTATATATATACACACGCATATATCAAAAACCATTAGAGTCTTACATCTTCCCAATCTCAGACTCGGTATAGTTACCTTTAGCGGGGTGTTCCGGATGTTCGCTTTTAGATGAAGAGGTGCCTGCACCTTCAGACACTTTACTACCTGAGTGGCCCTGCTCCACTTCACATAAATACACATCAATGGGGCCTCGGGTGCTCCTTATATGTACTGTGATGGAGTTCTGGCAAAAGACACATAAAATACCATAAAAAAGACACATCAGGATGAATGCGAGAATTCACTAATGATATTGTTTCACTTGCTAGAACTGCCAAAGTTTCATCTCAAGGGATACTGCTGGAATGTTAAGTTCCTTAAGGTGCCTTTCCTTCTACCACACGTGGGGGAGAATCCCGTACTTGGCCTCCGTCACTCCTGCCCCAGCCACTGGGCCACCGGCCGCCTCACGGCGCTGCCACAGGTCCTCAACCGTCCAGCAGGACTCCAGCGCTGTGACGCGAACACCTCCCAACTCGAGAGCCCCCCTTTCTCTACTCCAGGAGCGGACCCCTTCGAGGAGTCTGTACTTGAGAGTCCAAAACCAGTGTCCGGATGCCAGAGAAATCTCAAACACCCTGAAGTCTCCAACGGTAAGCGTGTGTTTAGACCTTCCGACCGCCGAAGAGATACCGCGTTAACTGAACGGGCCGCTCTCTGTCCGCGGGAAAGAGCCAGGGGATGGGATCCAGACAAAACACACCCCAGAAATGTAAAAAATATTCAGAAGAATTGCACGTAAAGGACTATTAATTAATTATGATTATTCACACCTTTTGGCTTTGGAGCTTTAAATTTACTCAGGATTAAAATACTTTTTTCCTGCAAGATAGCAGGAAGTAGGGTGCTTCTACGGAGAATTATGCTAAATTCTTTGTGTTTGGGGGGCGTGTGTGTGTGTGTGTGTGTGTGTGCGCGCGCGCGCATGTGCACGCCGAAACCTGGGAATGAACCAATTTACGCTAAATTCTTAAGGAACAGTTCAGTTATAAAGGATTCCTCTGTTATTCTGACTGGAAGTGGGCTCAAGTGTCACATGAAGTCTGTTCCCGGCCCTCCCACGCCATGAGGCTGGGCTAGGTACGGACGCGCTCCCTCCGGCCCCACACATCTCACCAGGATCTCACAACAGCACTTGGGGAGATGCAGCTTATCAGAAGGTCTCAAGTCCCTGTGTCCCCTTCTCTGCGGCTTCCTGGGGCCAGACACATAGGTGGGAGAAAGACCATCCACGCTCAGGTCCTAGACCGCCCGGCCTGGTCTGGCTTGAATGGTATAGCTTATAGAACCCAAGACATGTTTCTACACAAGTTCCGTTGCTCAGAACTGGCAGCCAGCTGAGGACTTCCTATTCCGCCAAATGAGAGCTGAGCAGCGTTTCCCGTAAAGGGTGAGACAGCAGACAGTTTTGGCTTCGCCGGCCATACCATCCCTTCACCACTATAGAATTCTGCCAGCACAGAGCGGAAGCAGCCAGACACAATGTCTCAACATACGTGCACGTGGCTGTGTCCCAGCGAGACTATGTATAAAACCCTAGCCAGCCAGACTGGACCTGAGGCCGGTGCGGCCAGGGTCACCCTGGCTCTAGCTTCCCAGATCTCACCCTGCATCTTTGTGGGGGTTGCACACCACTGAATGCAGTGTGCCCCTGTCTACGACTCCCTTACTTACTGCTGAGAATGGCTGCCACAGGGCCCACGTTCATCAGCCTTTAAACTGGACTCTGAGTCTTGAGCATGATCCAAAAGCTCAGCAAAATTCAGCAATTATAGCCTGAAGCGGCTCACGGCACAGGGGAAAAAACCCAAAACCCCATCAGTCACCGCAGCATGGACCATCATGTCCCAAAGTAAGGATGTGTTGAAAGATTAGTGGTTAATTATTAAAAAAAAGTTTAAACATCTCTCAAACGACTCCTATTAAATATAAAAGTTACTTAGGAGACTTGGAATAGATCCAAATCTAAATAGAGTAACGAGGAAACATCACCCATAAGTCACAACTTGAGTGTGACTAGATTAGAAGCTGTCCCTTAACTGATACACTGTCAAGTAACAACATGTGTGCCCACTGGGACAGTGGTCTGCTGGGGATAGGAGGATAGATGAGTGGGGAATATGCTTCACTATGAGGGAGGTGAGTCCCTACAGCAATGCAGAGGACATCAGTATGAGCACCGATGATGGGTCTACCAGGCTGTGAGAACCTGATGATCTGTCTCAAGGGCCACACTCCTTGGTTCTGATTCCATCCCTACCAAGCAACCTTCTGATGACAGTGACCTTTCAATACAAACTTCCCTGCACGGGGGCGTGTGCTAAGCAACTGGCAGCTGGTAAGAATATTCGCGCCCACACAGCAATTTCACTTTCATTTTGAATGTACCACTCAGTGTTCTAGTTTATTCATGAGTCTTTGATGAGTCTGGGTAGAATTAACTCCCCAGAGCCTTCGCTGACACCAGATGTCCTGCTGGAACTTCAAACAACGAGGCCAGTTCTTGGCGATTCCTCGAAGAGGCATTACGGTCTACCGTCGTCGACTACGGTCTAACAGAGGCACTGTGGGACCCGAGAGTACAGTACACTCCCAGTACAATGATTACCCACAGACTCTGAGGCCAAACCATCGGGGCTTGAATTCTGGTTCTGTCACTTACTGTGTGATCATGAGAAAGTTCATCTCTGTGCTTCAGACTCCTCCCTTCAAGAGGATAATAATCATGACTATTTGCTGTGTTACTCGAAATAAGTTAAAGTGTGTAAAGTGCCTCAAGCAATATCAGGCAGGCAGCTAACATGCACGTGATGGTTACTAAGTCATTACGACTGTGACAGCCTAAGCAACTGACCTGCCTCCCTCTTTAAAAAAATCCTTAGAAATGCAGGGATACCTACTTCTCTGGGAGCTGGAACATCCAATCTGGTTTCTGCCGGAGCTTTCACTGCAATAACAATCTGCTCGTGGAAGGCTTGAATGCTATGAATGTCCTGATACGTCACATACGCTAGTGTAAACATCAGTCAAGGGTCTCTAAGCAGAATGCTACGTACTGAGGAGATAATTCCTCTCTTATAATACATGCATACAAGTGTAATGTTAGAATCTCTGTAGTTTTTATGGGATACGAACTCACAATTAAGGAAAGCAATTGGAAAAAATTATTTCATATATGATTATTATTATTTCATCAACAATTCTTAAGATTTTACAAAGTGTTTTACAATATTTATAACTCGAAGCATTCCTTTAAACTCTAGCGTCGTGATTATGACGACAATTTCTGGAGAAAAATATTAATAACACACACAAAACAACTCAGGTGAAGGTGTTTAACTACTCCCTGCCCCCCATTTCCTACTCATTGCTAGATCTTACTATGAGAACCTTTGGGGACAAAATATTCAGTTTTGATAACAACCTCCTACAATACAAGGAGGAAAACATCTGTAAAGAGTGGAAGCAACTTGGAGAATCAGTGTTTCAGGGCCATTGTGTACCCATGGGGTTTCTCGCATCCCAAATTCTTCTCCATCTCACTACGTGAATTTTTTCATCTTGTTTTACTATGTCGCCTGAAATTTTACCAATTATGTGATTTACTGGGTTTCCCCAACATTTTTTGTTTACTTTACAGATTTTTGGGTGGAAGAACAGCATTTACTTTCCTTCCAGTAACTGGACTATGGAAATAGAGGAGTCTGATGCAGAGTGTAAGTCAGTCTGAAGCACGAACCGCTGAGGATCAGTGACTCCTCACAGAGGGGCGACAAGAACGGAGCAGATGGGCCCGGGGGACCCAGGAGACCCAGGAGAAGATCGCCACCAAAGACCAGTCTCCCCTGCTGGTCCCAGAGGTGCAGCCAGCTCCACCAGGCTCTGTGGGCCAGAGCGGCAGTGCAAGTGCCGAATCAATGACAATTTCATTCTGTTTTCAGAAATAAACTCCAGTTAACAAATTAGGGAAAACCTGCATTTCACAAACGCCAACAGATGTTACTATCTTTACAGCATTCTGACTAAAAAAACAAACAAGAATGGGCCACTGTTTTTATTTTAAATGCAAACATGGATGTTGGTACATGGTCACGAGGCAGCATTTAACCTGAACAAACAGCATACAAACGAGCAAAAGGCATTTATTTGTGTATGTCTGAGGCTACACAATTAAACCTTTACTTGCTTTTAAAACTTCTAAAGATCTGATTTTGTATTTTGAATATATTAATTAAATCCCCAAGCTGACCCTACTATTTAAAATAACCTGCCTTGGAAGGAGAAATTTTTTTAAAAAAAAGGACAGCGTTAACAAACAGGGTTGCTGGAGAGGAGGTGGGTGGGGGGAATGGAGAAATTGGGGGATGGGCATTAAGGAGGCACTTGGTATAATGAGCACTGGGTATTGAATGCAACTGATGAATCACTAAATTCTACCTCTGAAACCAATGATACAGTGTAAGTTAATTAAATTGAATTTAAATAAAACATTAAAAAAAAAAGGACAGAGTTAAAGGATATCTTTCATTTTCTTTGTCATCTGTTAACTCAAACAACTGCTGAGCACAATCCTTAATTAACTCATCCAAAGCATCTTCCATTGCCGATAAGTCAGAAAGTTCCTCCTGCAGCTTCTTCTGTTGGGGCACTACTCCAAAATTGCTAAGATCAGATCCTCTTTAAAAGAAAGGTAGTTGGGAAAAAAACAAAAAAACTCACCATCAGTAACATCCAGATTACAGAGAATACAAGTTAGATTACTGGAACTTCTCCAAATGTTAACACCAGGTATTTCACAAACTGACAGACAAAACTAGGTACTTGAACGTCACCCGTGACCTCCTTTTATTCTAGACAACCATTATTCTTCCTATATATAAACTGGTTTTTGTCCCCATTTCTAGTCTCTTACAGAGAGATTAAAGAAACCCAACAAACCATTATAAATCTATGGAAAGTAATAGTAATAAGGAAAGCTGATGGAGGTCATTGAGCACAGACCAAGAGTCAATAATACCGTTTAAGTCTCAGCTCTACTACTTATAGCAGGACTTTTAATAAGTTATAATCTTTTAGTCCCCTATGAAAAACAAGGAGTACAGACTGAAATGGTAGTTCTTCTGCTAAAATTCTGAGTATTTTTCCCCTCATGTGCATATAATACTTGGTTCTATCTGAATGTAATGATTATATTCAATATTCTTAAAAGATATACTTTCTCTAGTTACTACTACCTACCATATCATATTGGTATGATATGACCCAAGCCACTGATATTTCTTCTTCTTCTTTATGGAAAATAAAGATGAAAAAGGCTGTGGCCCCTTTACCTTTGGTTTACTAGTTTTCAATCTGATTCCAATTAGTGATTCAGAATGCAATCTGATATTAACCCTGAAAGTGTTATTTAATGTTATTTAGCAAACATGTCCAGATTAGAATTTAATCTGCATTTCTGTACTATTGAAAAAAATAACTTCCTTTAAGAACCACTTTGCCCTAACAGCAAAGTTCATTATTTAGAGCCATTTCATGATCTTTGTTGGTAGATTTTTCATTTGCCTGAAATGTATTTATATGTACTTACACGATGGAATTGTTTCTTACTGATCCACAGTATTTGCTTATTGTAATTAATAGCTTTCTTCTTATGCACATGTGCATGCACACATCTGTATGTATAACTACATCTATATCATAAGGTCTTTCTTCCATGATTCTCCCTAATCAAATATGAAGTCTTTAGCAATTGACTTTTTTTTTTTTGAGAGTGAGTGAGTGAGAGCATATGCACAAGTGGGCAGGTGGGGAGAGGGGGAGAGAGAATCTTAAGCAGGCTTCCACGCTCAGTGCAGAGCTTGATTTCAGAACCCTGAGATCATGATCTGAGCCAAAATTAAGAGTTGGACACTTAAATGATGAGCCACCTAGGCGCCCCTAGCCAACTGCCTTTTAGACATTGTCTAATGATTGTTTTTTACATTCAGGACAGTGTGTGATCCATAGCCTATCTGACTCATAACCACCTGGGGTAGTTAAGAACGTAGATTAGATTCCTGCCTTTGCCCCAGAACAAATGAATTACAATCCCTGGGGCGGGACGCTTCTAAGTGTTTATTACATTACACTGTTTTACAGCCTCAACTAATTTCCTCCTGATATCAACAATCATTTGGAAAAAAAAAAAAAAATCTCCTAAATAATCAGACATCCCCTTCTTATGATCTTGAAAAACAAAACTCTTAAAACTAATCATTATTCCATTCAACTTTTCCGTAATATCAGAATGATACTCTAGGTCTATGCCTTTTATTTAGTCCTAAGTAGGAAAAAAATACGTACCTTGTGGGACAATGTGAGAAATTTTTATAGAATCCTTTCCTAACAAGAAGCCATCTCTTACTTTGTTTTGTCCTATCAAAACACTGCTAATATCTAGTGTTTCAAGCATGGTATTGTCACCTAATGAGAAGGGGGAAGAAAAAAAGAGAAAAGCCAGGAAAAGTTCAAAACCAACTCACATCCATCGAATATGGTTCTTAGACTTTTTTTCAACCAGATCGATTCCATCTAAAACATTGGTGATGTCATACACTCTTCGTTTCCGCACTCCCAGTTTTGTGGCGACCTTGTTTAAGTCGAGAATACCCCCAGGAGCAGATCTGACAAGATCCATAAATTTTCGAGTTAAATAAACCAGAGATACATCAAAACGAGGTCTCTTCACTTTTAGAGCTTCTGGGAAACAAAACAAACAAATTCATAAAATTCTCAATAGCACTTCTTTCTCAGCTCACTAAAAAAAGTAATTTATTTCCTCAGTAAGCACAGACCCCTACAGAAATTCTACACACTGAACACATCATAGCTAATTTTTATGAAATACATTTCTCACACTGGATAAAAAGGTATCAGCCTAACTCAGGTAAACAAAGGTTTTAGTCTCAGAGGAGGATTTGAAATATGCAGCCATGTCCCCTGGACATGGGAATTTGGAGGAGTCTGTGGCATCTTATCAAACATAAAGTAGAGAGTTTGCATTTCTACCCCCACCACTCTCAGGAATAGGATTAGAAACAGTTTTTAAAATTAAATTTCTTATTTGGTCTTCAAGTTAAGGAATTCTTTGTAAAGCAAAGGCAGAGACTTGGCTTTTTCTTTTTAACACTTAAACTGTTCCTACACGTGTCATAGTGTAACCCTGATGGAAGTTTCTCAAAGAGCTCAAATTAGTCTTCTATTAAAGTATTAGGACATATCTTGAGGAAAAGTGGCATCTCTATTTTTTTAAATATTCATTAGCCTATATTAAGAGATAAGCAAACGAAGGGGGAAGATCTCTTTAATTCCCTCCCTCCTTCCCCCGCTCTGATGATTTTAGTTTTTCATACACACCCTGCCCCCACAGCACACAGACACACCCAAGTGTCAATATGTAAATGTAACTTTTAAAAACAAAAATAACAAACTATTATTAATAAACTGCTTTAACTCAACATTGTGAACATCCTCACTTGGCAACAAATGTATTTCAATGTTATTCTATTTTTTTTTCAAGTTTTTTTTATTCATTTATCTGACAGAGAGAGACACAGCAAGAGAGGGAACACAAGCAGGGGGAGTGGGAGAGGGAGAAGCAGGCTTCCCGCTGAGCAGGGAGCCCGTTGTGGGGCCCGATCCCAGGACCCTGGGATCATGACCTGAGCCGAAGGCAGACGCTTAACGACTGAGCCACTCAGGCGCCCCCAACATTATTCTTAACGGCTGCATAATATTTAACTGCATGGAATATTTGCTAAACTTACCCCAATACTGGAAATTCTGACTGTCTCCAACTTTGCTATTTTGCCCGATACTTCAGTAAATCTCCCTATAGCTAAAATTTTGTGTGCATCTTTGTTTCCTTTAGTTAAGTCCCCCGATTTGGAATTGACGGGTAAAAGGGTATTTTAGGGAATGTCTGTCCCGCTAAACCTGCTATCCAGGTGGGGGGTTCTATCAACTTTACACAGTGTTATGTGTGAGGGGCTCGGCTCACGCACTTGCCTGAACCAAGTATTAGCGTTCCTTTCATCTTTCCCAACTTGATATTAAAGACAAGTTCTTACGGTTTTGTGCAGAATAAGTATTTTACAAATAACCCAGGTGTCCTTTGGGTGTGGAGTATCTGAGCTCTCTTTTTTCTACTTTGACAGCATATGGCCGTGAGTATGCTTCAAAAGAAATACTCATCCTGTCTTCGATCAGGAAATCCCCGTATCCAGAACCTCTAAAACGTCATTCAGTTTAAAGCCCAGTGGTGGCTACTCCAAGAACACAAGTGTGTATTTTATAATACACATGTCTTCTCTGTGGAGACCACTCCTACACTTACGATTAAACAGGAATAAATAGGAATTAAAATGGGGTTTAGGGGCGCCTGGGTGGCTCAGTTGGTTAAGCGACTGCCTTCGACTCAGGTCATGATCCTGGAGTCCCGGGATCGAGTCCCACATCGGGCTCCCTGCTCAGCAGGGGGTCTGCTTCTCCCTCTGACCCTCCCCCCTCTCATGTGCTCTCTCTCTCTCTGTCTCAAATAAATAAATAAAATCTTTAAAAAAATAAATAAATAAAATAAAATAAAATGGGGTTTAATTAGAAGAAAGTCACCATTTTACAAAAAGCCTTGGCAGACTACAACAGAGAAATCCTAACGTGAAAAAGCATACATCTAATCACCCTAATTGCTAACACGACAGGGTCTTATAAGCTCAGGGTTAAGTATATTCCCACCACGTCAGTCACTTTAGAAAGTGACTTTAGAAAGATATTAACTGAAAACCTGTAACCTGAGAGTTGTTGATGGAATACAAACATGATTCAAAAGGTTTTCAAACTAAAGATGTTCCTTAGTCTAGTAAGGAACTCTATCACAATGTCCTGAGGTCAGTGCCAAGCGAGGCATCCAAGGTCCCCGAGAAGAGGAGCTGAAACCTGACTGGAGCGGGAGTAAGGAAATCTTCCTGAAGGGGGTGAGCAGGCAGAGGACAGAAAGGTAGAGAGGAAGCTCTTCTCCCCTCTGACGGAGGGCAAGGGGCTTAATGAGACAGAGCTGTGGTTGAGAATGGGTAGATTCAGGGAACCCACCGATGGTAGGGATGGTGAGGGCAGCAGATGAAGACCAGGCTGCCCAGTGGAGCTGGAATGACCTAGAAGGGCCCTGTCTTTCTGCCCAGCTGTTCTCTACTGCCTTGTTTCTTTTAAGGAAATGAGGTGGCTTATAAATTTAATACAAATAAGTAAAACCAAATAAATGAGGAGTCAGGGTTTTCTCTATTCATAATAGAACACTGTGGAAGAATTCCAGGTTGCATGAGATCCCAATCCCAGTTCTGTGTTAGGAAAATCCCCCTGGCGGCACAGTGGAAGAGCCTAAAAGCAGACAACCTATTGAGGAGGCCGTCCCGCCATGTCAGCTAGGGAGGGAGGGAGGACCCACACTGCAAGCAGCAGTCTAACCCAGTGGTTAAGACGAGGGGCTCGAGTCCAAGGTGTGGGGGGTGAATCCTGACTGAGGCCTCAGTTTACTCAGCTATAAAAAATGAGTAATAATCCACACTTGTATTTTAAAGGGTTGTTGCGATAACGCATGCAAAGAGCCTGACGCAGCTCGCACTGTACAAGCTCAGCGTGTGTTAGACGATACTGTAAGGTGGCGGGGACGGTCAGACGAGGGACACACTTCCAACGTAAAACTGACCAAACCTGGGCACCAGCTATGGGTGAGGCTGTGGCAGGGGCTGAGGAGAAATTAAGGGCTGATATTAAGATCTACATGTGGGACCTATGCACAGTCCATTCCTTATGGTTAGGACCTAATTAAGGGGAAGTTAGGGGTGGGGCTATCTATGGTAACAATTTCCAGAAGGATGGGAACCAGAGCAACTGGTACTCCCATCTCCTTTCGATGACTCTGCACGCTGGTCCATGGCAGGAATGGGACAGAGCAAACGGAATCAAAGGAAAACTTGAGGCCAAAGACAGTTCTCCTGCCTGTTGTCGAGGGCCTTCAATTCTGCTGACAATACTGCTCTCACAGAATTTCGAGAAAATATCCTTAAACACAGACCATCCCATTTTAAAAATGATTTCTAAAAGCAACAAAGAATAAACTGGCATTTGTGCACATCATTCAGCCCACAATCTCAGGAGTTTTTGCTGAAAGTCAGTGTACGAATAATATATTTTACTTAAGTTTCTCATCAACTTATGTACATTTAAAATAAATCGTTTAAATCATATGAAGTTCAAACTACAAAACCTAAAACATATTTCAGGATCAACTTACTTCTCATGGACACATACTGTACATTATCTTCTAAATTAATCCTTATTTTTGATGGCTAGAAAAGAGAAAATACAAAAACTTAAATTAGTAATTTAAAGACAACAATGCAAAATGAGCAAAAGCAAATGAACAGCATCTCCTGGATAATATAAGGGCTTTTTTTTCACCGTGGGGTAATAATGGGTTGTGAGAAAAGCAGCCCTTCCTCCATACTGGACCCACCCCAACTGTGCTCACAACCGACAGTGCTCATAGAGTAATGTTTCTAACGGTGCACAGGCCTCCATGAGTATGGATGGAGCAGTTACAGAAGGGATGGGGGAGAAATACAAATGAGAAGTTACTACTGAATAGACACTAACCATCCCTATCAGATACTGAGGATAAAAAGGAATACAAAGATGATTGGGAAACAGTCTCTGACTCTGGAAAGCTCAGCAGAGGTAGAAGACAGGTCTAAAGTGGCAAATGCTCATCGCTTCTATTTAAGTGTAAGTGGCTCCTAAAAATTTGCTCATCAGTTTTCACAGGTGGCCATGCATTCCCATTATAATTAATGGGAAAACAGCAGCATTTCTGATAATGGAAAATAATGCATACTACCTAACTAGAAACTTTCGTATTAGATTAATTAAAAAACTTCTTTTAAATTCTTCAAATAACCAGGAAATGAGTAGCAGCTCCACTCCCAATGTTCACCATCTTATCAGGTATTTAGATGCTATGAAAGTTTACATAAACTGGTAGTAAAACATCTGTAATACATTTAAAAATCTTTTTTGCAAAAAATAAATAAAACCTTTAGATAAAGCCAGGTAAACAGAACCTTATATTAGCCGCATGCTTACACAGCAAAGCACAACGATGACAGGTGCCTCCAGACAGGCTGTGATCAGGTTCAGCTCTTGCCTCAGTGAAAAAACTGGCCCCGAAACTGGCTGTAGCATTGGGACCGGTGAATTCCATAAAGTGCTCTAAGAGAAGAATGGGCAGGAATACTATGGATACACCCAGAAAGGGATATCACAGAAGGATTCACAGGGAAGGGGATCCCCAGCCGAGCCTTGAAGGACAAGCCAGATTTTGCCCGAACCCGTGGGAGCTTCAAGAGGGAAAAGAGAGGATTTCTAGTGCAGGAAATGCAACAAACAAAGGTATGAAAATATAAATGGCATGGTACCTCTTGAAGACCCACCTGTGTGGTCAGTGCAAGACTAACATGACATCGAAGTTGGAAAGGCATGCTGAACCATACTCAACATAGACCATGGAAGTCATGCTAAGGAGTGTGGACTTCATGTCCTAACCACTGGAGAATCACCACAGATTTCTGAACAAGAATATGACATACCCAAGCTCATGGTTTAGGAATATAAGTATGGTACCCGTACAGCAAAAGGACTGGGGGATGGGGAAGTCTAAAGGCAAGGTGAGCAGTTCAGAAGCTCTTTGTTTATCTTGGTGTCAGCAAATCCTTGGCACAATGATTTCCGTATCACCTATGAAAAAATTATAGCATCTATTAGCAAGTTAACTAACTTGATATGGAATAATTCTACTGAAATAGAATTAGCAACTTAGTTGTTAGAACGTAAAGGACAACGCAGACCTGCTGGGGTGTGCAAAACCTGAGTCGGGAAGGCCTGTCTTGGGGGCAGGGACTACGCCCGATGAGCTCTCCGAGCAACAGCGTTGACAATAGCAACCTGCAAACACGGGACCCGCCAGTGAACCACTAAAGGGCAGTCCTCTTAAAGTCAGACACAGATGAATGTGACCACCGGTCATTGCTATTTCTATATTTACCCCTTCTGCTAAAATTGGAGGAGACAGAGTTTACTATAGAAAGATTGTTAAATGAGAAAGAATCCATCCTCGGCACACTGATTTGAAACATAGACAAATATCCTAAATTGTTATAATGTTCCTTAAAAAAGTACACAGGAAGGGTTAATATAGCAGGGCTCATAGGTGCCTTGCCGCAAAAAGACTTCTGGTTCTTAATTTAGAGTAGCAGGGCCAAGTCCTACATACAGGCACTTAATGGTATCCTAATAGGCCGCCTCACTATCTCCTCGCCGCACATTCCAGAAGGGCAGCTTTTCTGCTCTGTACTCCCCTTTCTTGTCCTCTTATCCAGACTGCTGCCATTCGCAGGTTGGCACAGGGATGATACCTCAATCAGGCATGACAACAGGAGCAAGGACAACTTGCTTTTCCACACACTCTGCCATAAATGTGGCTGCACTGCCTGCTGTCTACACCGAGAGCTGTGGGAAAGCAGAGTCCAATGGCAACCCCCCCCCCTTTTTTTTAAACCTTTTGACTATGAAAACACAATCTCTTTAGCTTGGAGGAATCACAACAGTATTGTGGCCTCTCCGGGGCAGACATCCCAGTACGTATAAATCCTACAGGTGAACAATACTGGAGATTTCCAAAGTGTCCACAGTAATGACACATTCATCTCCTTTACATTCAAAATAGTTCTTGGCTTAAGACTGGGGTTCAGGACTACCAGCTACCTGACTTCTTAGACACTGAGAGATCTGGGCCTTTATCTGTAACAGAATGTGTTGATATAATTTTATTGCCCGTTTTCCAAGCTACTGTGAAGATTAAAAAAGGAACTGTGTTAATTGTAAAATTCTATGCAACCGTAATAAGAGACTATTATCATTTTGCGTTTTGAACCAGAACAGCGTCTGGCACATTCAAGCACTTGGTAAATATTTGTTAACATGTGAAGCTGAAATAGTACCTTGTCACAGATAACTTCAACTGGTAAGTAACTCAGAACTCTGAAACAATGAGTAGTTAAGACACAAGGACACAGGGTGAAGACCCCCTCTTGTGTACACCATGAATCAGATCCCTGAGAGATTATCAAGCATCATTTTCTGTGTTCTAATACAACATTCATCATCTGGCTAGATCAGCCTGACACCTGGCAAGCCTTTCCAGCTACTCTAACTTTGGTAAGGCATTTAACAAGTAGGCCAGGAGCCTTTCTGGAAGTAGAAAGGACTAGATAGGACTCCTTTCGAAGTGGCTTTAAAATCAGAATAAATGGGGGCGCCTGGGTGGTTTGATGGGTTAAGCATCTGCCTTCCGCTCAGGTTATGATCTCAGGGTCCTGGGATGGAGCCTCGCATCGGGCTCCCTGCTCAGCGGGAGTCTGCTTCTCCCTCTGCCTGCCGCCCCACCCACTGTGCGTGCTCTCTCTCTCAAATGAATAAAATCTTAAAAGAAAAAATCAGAATAAATGTTTCCTCACAGAAAAGTTAGTAAGCTATTAAAAAAAAAAAAAAAAAAAAGCAAATGAAATGCCATGCCACCCCTGCACTTGGACGCAAATTATTTAGGTCCCTCAGATCAGAGCAGTGCACCTCGCCCCTGGAGGGAGGCCAATGAGGCTCTTCACTCTTGTATGGACATCCCCCCCACCCTGGGTATGAACCCAGAAGCAGACACAGGAGCTGGAATAGACAGAGCTCCCACTCAAGTGGAGGGGCCTTGCCCCTCTCAAAAGGAGACGATTGTGTAAGCTCCTCTCAGGGATACCCATTTTCTTTTTATTTTGAAATAATCTCAGCCTTCATCGAAGGTACAGAAGTAGCACTAAGAGTTGCTATATACCCTTCATCCAAATCCCCCATATGTTAATGTTTTACTACATTTCCTTTATCTTTTTTTTTTTAAAGATTTATTTATTTGACAGAGAGACACAGCGAGAGAGGGAACACAAGCAAGGGAAGTGAGAGGAAGAAGCAGGCTTCCCGCGGAGCAGGGAGCCCGATGCGGGGCTCGATCCCAGGACCCCAGGATCACGACCTGAGCCGAAGGCAGACACTTAATGACTGAGCCACCTAGGTGCCCCTCATTTTTTTCTCTATACACACACAACTTTTTTCCTTGAATCACTTGAGGGTAAACTGCTGACCCTAAGTAACTCACTGTGTACCTCAAGGATATTCTCCTATACAACCACTGGATAATTACCAAAATGTCTGTTTGAACTTAGCAGTTTTGAAAGAAACTATCAGCAGAAACCTGGACTTTGAGGGCACTCCAGTGAAGGTTCAAAAGGAAGACAGGATCATGCTACTACAAAGCAGAAGAAGGGAGATGTCTATTATGCTAGGACAGAATGCTCAGCAACACCATCAACTGCAGTTATGTGGGAAGCTGACAGTAATGGCCCAGGTAACCTGAGATTTCCACACAAAGTGTTGACTGTGGCACCTGGTTTCTCCCTGCAGCCTACAGTAAAATGTGTGAGAGAGAAATCGAGAAAGGGATTGTTAAACAAAAAGGAGCCAGGACTTAAAGGCTTTAAAAATTCCCAGCCTTGGGGCGCCTGGGTGGCTCAGTCAGTTAAGCGTCTGCCTTCGGCTCAGGTCATGATCCCAGAGTCCCAGGATCGATCCCTGAATTGGGCTCCTCATTCAGCGGGGAGTCTGCTTCTCCCTCTGCCCCTCTGCTCTCTCTCAAATAAATTAAAATCTTAAAAAAAAAAAAAATTCCCAGCCTCTCCAGAAGCTCAAATTAAGAAATGACACCTAAGAAAGACCAAATCAAAGGCATAATCTAAAGATGAAGGTGAAGGGCACCTGGGTGACTCAGTCAGTTAAGCGTCCGGCTAAGCGTCCGGCTCTTGATTTCAGCTCAGGTCATGATCGCAGGGCCGTGAGATAGAACCCTAAGTCGGGCTCTGTGCTGAGTGTGGAGCCTGCTTGAGATTCTCTCTCCCTCTGCCCCTCCCCCACCTTTTCCAAAAATAACATAAAAATTGAAAAAAAAATTAAGATGACGGTGACGGTGTGACTGTACAACTTTTGGGTAAGACCTCAGGTGGATCAAAGATGGTGCCTCAGAGTGCTATGCGGTCATGCAAAAGGCCTTGAGAGATGAAGGACGAGCCCCACAGATCCTCTAAATCGAGGCCAGGGCCTCTACGAAGCTCCGGGGCACTGTCCATCAGCCTTTCCAGCAGGAGCCCAAGGTGCAGAAGGGTTCATCCAGAAGAAAGGCGGGATGTTTGTCTGCTGAGTGAACCACAACAGGATCCACAGAAGGTCCACACAGTTTCTGAGAGAATCGTATCAGCAAAAACACTGTCAGCTTGGATGAAAAGGGACACTGTTTAAATTGAAAAGACGTTACTCAACACCCAAAATTCTATTGCCAGTAAGCAGGCTGATAAAATTCCTCGGCCTCAAATAGGGACTACCTCTCATGAGGAAGAAAGGAAGACAGACAGTGGAACCAACAGCCCGGAGGGTAGAGCTGGGAGCACAGAGACTTGTTCCCTGGGACCTAACCGAGAAATTTCTAACACATAGCAAGCTGATTTTCAGAAGTGCTCTGGACCGGTTACTCCCCTGTGACTCCCATCTCCTCCTTTAGAAACAGGAATGCCTATAGCAGGTACCCTGTCTGTCCCACTAGTGTATGCTGGCTGAGCTGGGGCCGGGGGAGGGGGGGGTCTTCTAATGGTCTTTTAAGTTTCATGGCCTAAAGATCTGTAGGGGCTGGACTGGGCTGTATCTGAGGAGCCTGGATTCTTATTTTATTCTCTAAGTATAAAATCTGTTAGTTTGAGGCTCAGATTGTCCCAGATTAGGCCAATGGGAGCCTTTTCAAAGTGGTGCCTGTGCAGGACACTTATTTTTGACCTTTTCAGCATCTTGAGGATGGCAGTCCTCCAACTTCTATGGGACTAAGCTGCCGGGGCGCCGGCACGGACGCCACTGCTTCTAGAGCTGACGACCCACCACTGGGGGGAGCTGTCACCGTCCCCGTTCCTCTGGAGGAGTCTCACTGAGAGGTTACTCTGGTAATTTCCCTGAGGGATGCCAAGGGAGAGCTCAGGAGTAGTCAAACCTCAAGAATGGACTACCTAAGAACTTTCCCTTTCAACCCTCCAACTGGTTCTGTGCCCCCACTGGTTCAGGCTTGATACTAGCCTGTTTGTATCTCAGCTGGGGAATGAATGGAGAAGGCAGAGGCTGCCAAGCTGAAAATCAGCAGGACCATCTCGATGCACACAAGCTCTCAGGAGCCAGCAGCTCCTGACAGGCAAGTCAGCACAATGGAAGCCATTTTACTACTGCTCCGTTTCCCACATCTGAAGACTGCAGAGTAATTTATAATTTGAGATCTCAAAGGACGAAAGGAGAGAACACGAGGTCAGTTTTAGGGACTAAAATCTTAAGCACTGCCTCTATGTTGGTTAAACACTCTTCTATACAGATGTCTCTTTGTACTGCTTGCCTATTTTGGGGAGTCATATTCCTTTAAGAGCCCTTTGGAAATATACCTTTGTCCAAGGTGTTTGCATTCTCCTCACTCATTCAGATTTTCCTCATTTTTCAATGTGCAGACTGAGTTCCACCTCCAACTAACACCACTTTCTCCCTTCTCTAAATTCCACAGTTTTCAAGCCATTTACCTGCGGAACATCAAACACTCAGCCAGATACATGACTAAGCTTTGCACAGCAACACACTTTGCTAAATATCCAGTCACTAGCCAATAAAAACACCGAGAGAGCTGTTTAAATCACCATTTTACAAGCAGGAAAATAAACACACATTCGAACATGTAAGAGTACATACTTCGGTCATCCAGTAACTATGTACCAAATGTTTTTGTGAGAGGCACCAAACCACTGCAGATATAACAACGAAATGGACAGAGTCACTGCACTCAGGGACCTAAGAGACACACTGCAGACAGGATAAGCACAGGGTGCTTTAGGAGCACAAAAGGAGTGCCTAACCTAGTCTTGATATGTCAGATGTCAGAGAAGGCTTCAGACAAGGGACCTATACATCCAGACCTGAAAACCAGGGGAGGTAACAAGGAAATGTGTGCTTTTTAAAAAAAAGGCTTTCTGGGCGCCTGGGTGGCTCAGACGGTTAAGCGTCTGCCTTCGGCTCAGGTCATGATCCCAGGGTCCTGGGATCGAGTCCCGCATCGGGCTCCCTGCTCCTTGGGAGCCTGCTTCTCCCTCTGCTTCTCTCTCTCTCTCTCTCTCTGTCTCTCATGAATAAATAAATAAAATCTTTAAAAAAAAAAAAAGGCTTTCTGGGTAGGTGGAGTATGAATATGTAGGGTCCAAAAGAATATGGAAATGTGGAAATCTAGCAACTATAAGCAGGTCAAAAAAGATAAATCCAGGAACCTGACTATATTAAGAAGTTTCTACTCTATTCTGAAAGCACTAGGGAACTGCGATAGATTCTTTAAGCCAAATGACATGGTCAGAAATATGCTTTAAAAAGACCACGATAGTTACTACGTGAAGAATATCTAGAAGTCTGGGGGCAAGACCAGAAGCAGGAAAACATTGCAACAATCTGAGAGTTAGATGGTTAGAAGTGCCAAGTATTGGTGATTACTTTTAATTAGATTGGGAGGACAGAGGGCGTCAGTTTGGAAAAGAGAAAAGGCAAGGATGATGCCTAAGAGACCAGCTTGGGCAATATGGTGGGTGGGTGCCACTTATAAAGATAAGAGCTAGCAAAGCTGTTGCCTGCTTCGGCAAGAAGATAATGAATTCAATTATGCATAGGAGTTTGAAATCTAAGTAGAGACATCAGTAGACAGTTGGAAGGCTCTGAGCTGGATTTATAGATCTAGGAGTTATTATGACATGGCAACTGAAACGGCCAAAATAGGTAAGAATATCTAAGACTTCAAGGGATGTGTGTATCTTCTGATATTAAATGCAAAATTAAGTGGTTTTTCCACAGTTGAGAGTTCAGGGCTTTTATCAAATCCTCAAAGATGAAGACTACCAATATAGATGGTTACCAATGAAGATGGTATCAGAAGTCCTAGGAGTGGTGAATGACGTCCCACATGAAGAATGTGTAGAAAGAGTAGAAGAAAACCCCAAAAAACACCAACATGTAAGGAATGCAAAGAGAGCAGTTTGCAAAGGAGCACAAGGAGAGACCAAATGGAGCACTAAGAGTATGTATGGCCAAAGAAGCCATTCAAAGGTGAGTTTCCAACAAAATAAAGTGGTCAGTCGTGTGGAAACCAGAGACAAGGGGTGAAACATCTGATGGAACTAACAAGGTTGTTGGCGGAACTTGGTTAGAAGAGTCTTAGGGCTGTGCTGAGGGCAGAGGTCCCCCCCCACACCCCGCCGTGGTAATGACAATGGACACCGTGAATGCAAACAATTTTCTGGAAAAGTCTGGAGGAAGAAATACAAATGACGGGGTTATCTAGAATTAAGGGAAGGCTCTTTTAAGATGAGGAAATATTTAGGATGCAGTTTAAGTAGTCAAGAATTTATCATCAGGGGTCAGACATTGTGAGGTTAAATCCAGGCTTTTCCAGGTAGTACCTAAGCACTGGCAAGCCACTTAACATTTCCAAATCTATTTTGGCAAATGGAGAACAAGAATAATAAGCTCGCAGGACTGCTACGAGGAATTAAAGGAGATTATGCTCATAAATTATTTTTGAGCACTGAAACACCATGATGATTGGGCGTATTAACTTCAGCAAATGTTTCCTTATCATGGGAAGAAACCAGGAGAAAAGTTGAAAATACGGGGAGAAATGGAAAAACGTTGCATTCATCAACGCCTCTGAGAACCAAGGTTCTCTTGCACCTAGTCTAAAACAAGAATAGAGGAAATTAACCTTGGGCAGGGCGGGAGCGCGATCTTAAATTGCTGAACTGGCAGCTGTGGGGTGGGAAAAGTAGCGTAGGGTTTCAAATGGCTACAGTCAAGAGAATGGGAAAGGAGGATGAAGACAAACAAATAACTCGCAGAGATACAGCGAGGGTCCAGCGGAGGTAGAAAAAAGAGAAGTTGGGCAATTTTCTCCAACAGTGCTCCCTAGCCCTAGGTAAAAGCCAGTAAGACTGACAACACATTTGGGAGCAAGTGTTGGAAGAGGAAGGCGAGAGAGTTTTTAGTGAAAGACCGACCGGCTTGGTTCAGAGCACAGGATGGGCAGCTGTAGAGTCCGGGAGACGGGGTGCTCCCACCGCGAACCCGGCCCAGGGGGAACTCACGACCCAGAGAGCGGTGGCTCCGGCTCCCAGCGAACGAGAAGAGGCGGCTGGGCCTGAGACCCGCCCCCGCGCCACCCCGCGCAGCGCCGGGCCCCGGGCGCTCCCCGCACAGGCCATCCCCGGGGCTTACCAGCAGGCCCTCCACATTGATGGGGTCGCGGCACCGGCGGCGCACCGTCTCCTCCGCCGGGTCCACCAGCAGGCTGGGCAGTTTCCGCGCCGGCCGCTGCTGACTCATGCTGCCCAGCCGGCCGTCCCTCGCCTCGCACCCCGCGAGCTCTCCCGCCTTCTCCAGCTCCGGCCGTGTGCCGCCCCCAGTGCGCCGGGTCCCGGGGGCCGAGCACGAAGCGGGCCCGCGGCCTGCTCGGAGGCGCCGCTGCCTAGGCAGGCCCGCGAACGGACGCGCCACCGCCCCACGATCTCGGGAGCTACAACGCCGACGGGAGAACAGGGTGACCCACGGCTCTCAGGACTCCAAGCCCGCCATCTTCCCGCATGCGCAGTGCGCCGCCCCCAGTGCGCATGCCCGCCGCTGCCGGAGCGCTCCCACGCACTAACCCTCTCCCGGCGGCCGGAGCCCGGGAAAGCCCGGACGCGAAATCCACGGAGAGGATGGCAGCGGAGAGGAAGAGGTGGAGCAGGAATTTCAGAAGAAAGGAACGGGGCCAGAGAAAAAGAGGCAGTGGTTGGGGGCGGGCGGGGGTGGGGAATGCAATTGTCAACACTGATTATTGAAACTTCTGAGCGCGCGGATGTTGATTAACTTTGAGCTCCCTCCACACACCGCAGGCGTTTGCCCGGTGTTGATGCTTAGTAAATGTTGGTAATCAAACCGTTGTGCAATTGTTTACTTATAGGCTTCTTTCTTTCTGTTTCTTTTTTCTTTCTTTCATCTGATGAATAAATTATTGATTATCTGCTGTGCCAGGTATCGTGGTGGGTACAGGAGATACTCATTGGAATTTGGCACAGACTCAATCTCAAAATTCCAATTGAGGAAACAGAAAAATAAACTGAACGTTTAAAGCTGGAGCCAGAAAGTGTGTTTTCAAATCCTGGCTTCTCTCTCTCCTTATCAAGTTTACAAGACCTTAAGCAAGTTACTTAATCACTGTGTACCTCAGTTTCCTCATTTGTTAAATGGGAATAATGACAGTACTTATTTCATAAGGTTGTTGTGAGAATTAAATTAAATTACTTAGAACAGGGACAAGCGAATGCTTGAAATAGAAAGGCATGGGCGCCTGGGTGGCTCAGTTGGTTGAGCGACTGCCTTCGGCTGGGGTCATGATCCTGGAGTCCCAGGATCGAGTCCCACATCGGGCTCCCTGCTCAGCAGGGAGTCTGCTTCTCCCCCTGACCCTCCTCCCTCTCATGCTCTCTGTCTCTCATTCTCTCTCTCACAAATAAATAAAATCTTAAAAAAGAAAAAGAAAAAGAAAAAGAAATAGAAAGGCAATGCAATGTGGTAAGTCCAGGGTGGAGGAGAGCAACTGAGCCCTGTGGTAGTTAGACCAGGGGTTTCTACCCAGCCTGAGGTGGGGCAGGGCAGGCTTCCGCTGGAAGTTGGCTCCCCACTATATTATAAAGTCCTCCAGAGAGAGGCATTCTCTAATCTTTGTAGCTCCAGCATCTAGCACAGTGCCTGGCAAATAGTAAGAGCTCAGCAAATGTTTGCTAAATTAATGACTCGAAATAGAGAATAACATAGGGACTAAGTCTCGAGAAGATTGGATTTTGTTGCAGAATGGAGAATTGCCCAGAGTGGTTAAAATATGCCTTCACCAATGAGAGTCCCTGGGAAGGCAAGCTCTGGAGACCAGAAATGAATGTTTTTAATAAAAAGACATAATCCACTGTTTGCTATATGTTTGGCATTCTACTAAGTGTTCTGCATAGATTTTTTTACGTGTAAATCTTATATCAAAACTGAAAGGTGTTTTCCTGCCCAATTTATAGATGAGGAAAATGAAGATTAGTAAGATCGCAAAAATTACCCAGGGTCCTGGGTAGGCAGTGGTAGAGATAGGATTTGACTCCACAGTTGATTAGTTAATTTGGTTAGTTAGATAGGTAATAAGCCACTTCTTGAGAAAATTACTGGAGAGTGACTAGATTTTCTCCAGCCAGAGATGGGGTTGGGTGAGCAAATGTGGGGTGTAGGTGAGGATGGGGGTGGCAGGCATTCCAGACTGAAGACAGCATGAACACAGTTGTGGAGAGCCGAGCAATGATACAGCCTTCCAGACACAATGCCTGTGGCTCAGCTTCAGCCTGAGACTTAATCATCCACACATTTGAGCACGAGCCTTACCTTGGGCTCCAGCAGCCTCCAGCCTGGGGAGACACATAACTAGAACACAGAAGCACTACTAGAATGTGTATTACATGCTATGGGAGCACAAAGGAGGAAGAAGAAAAAGAACTGAATCTCGTGTAAGTTACAGGTGCTTTTTTACACATCTCCCTATGAGGTAGATATTTCTAGAATATTTTGCAGATTGGATACAGAAGCTGAGAGAAGATGTGCCTTGCCCAAGGTCGAGTGGGGATTAACAGGGCTTAAGCCACCATATCCTTTGCTTTATCTACCGCGTCCCACAGTGGAGCCCAGACAGTTCCCCGCACAGAAATTCTGTATTTCCCATCTCCAGTCCTGTTGCTGTGTGTGCTTCCTGGGGCAAAATGGTGGACCTTCGGACTTTAAAATTAGGGCTGAAATATAGGCCAAGTGCAAACGTGTGCATTAGGAATGCTGCAAGACCTTACCTGTCAAAGGATGCTTTACTTTCCTTCTACGGTAAAATTTCCTCCCCATAAGTCTGAGAGAATGGCCGTGTCCAAGAGGACTTTCTGTGATAATGGAAATGTTCTGTGCTGTCCGATATGGTAGCCGTTAACCACATGTGGCTGTTGAGCCCTTCAAATAGAGCTAGTATGATAAAAAACTAATGATGTAATGTATGGTGACTAACATAACATAATAAAAAAAAACAGAGCTAGTATGATCAAAAACAAAAACTAACGACGTAATGTATGGTGACTAACATAACATAATAAAAAAAATAGAGCTAGTATGTCTGAGGAATTGAATTCCACATTAATGTTTAATTGAATTCAAATATTAATTTAAATAGCCGTGTAACCAGTGGCTACCATATTGGACGGCACAGGTGAAGAAACTAAAATGTATGGATATCATCTAGTGCAGTGATATTTTTAAATCTTTCTTTCTTTCTTTCTTTCTTTCTTTCTTTCTTTCTTTCTTTCTTTCTTTCTTTCTTCTTTCTTTCTTTCTTTCTTTCTTTCTTTCTTTCTTTCTTTCTTATTTTTAGAGAGAGAGAGAGAGAAAGAGACTGTGCGCAGGGGAGGGGCAGAGGGAGAGGGAGAGGGAGAATCTTAAGCTGGCTCCATGCTCAGCATGGAGCTGACCTGGGGCTCAATACGGGGTTGGATCTCACGGCCCTGAGACCATGACCTGAGCCGAAGTCAAGAGCTGGCTGCTTAACCAACTGAACCACCCAGACGCCCCAAGGGCAGTACTATTCTAAGTGTGGTCTGTGCACCTCAGCGTCGCCATCACATGGGGAGCTTATTAGGAATGCACATTTTTTGGCCCTACCCCAGACCTACAGAATCAGACTCTGAGGATTTGGGCATACTCTGCAAGGCACTGGTCTAGCCCAGTCCTTATTTTTCAGATGAAGAAACTGATCCCCAGCCCCTTTTCAAGTGCCTGATAACCCAGCTAAATTGAAGCCAACTTAACTTTTCTAATGCAGTGCTTTAGGATTGAGGATTTAGAACAAATCCAAAAGTGACCATTGTAACCGAATTATTTGCTAGATGTTACAACTTCCTACATATACCTCTCACTCCAGCAGAGAATTTTTAGATCTTAAGCAATAGAAGGAGCCAAACTGGGGGGAAGGAGAATGGACCGGAGGCCACCACAATCTGGGGCAGCTGATGATGGCCCAAACTGTGCCAGTGGTATTAAAAATGGAGGAAAGGACAGATTCAAGAGGTAGATGGGACAGAGAGGTGGGGGGTTGATTGGGTTTAAGGGAAGGATTGGACTGAAGGTGGCAGTCTGGGTACTTGAAGTCCAGGAATAGAGGAGATTGGTTCAGGGAGCACAGGAAGAAGAGTGGAGGGGGGGGGGGGGGGCAGGGCCCAAGGACAGAACCAGAAAACAGTAAGGGGAAAACTGGCAAATACTATCACAACTGTTTATTTTACGCTTGTGTTGCTTTTGTTTTAAACTAAACAACAACAACACTAATTAAGAGAGTAGTCAGGGAGGGGCGCCTGAGTGGTTTGGTCAGTTAAAGGTCTGCCTTCGCCTCAGGTCAGGACCCCAGGATCCTGCGATCCTGGGATAGAGCCCCTTGTTGGGCTTCCTGCTCAGCGGGGAGTCTCCTCCTTCTCCTTCTGCCCCTCCCTCCTGCCCATTCTCTTTCTCAAAGAAATAAATAAAATCTTAAAAAAGAGAGAGAGAGAGAGAGAGTAGCCAGGGAGATTGGTAAATCTGGACTATGAATGATTTAGAGATTAAAAGAAGGGATGAGTTTTTTTTTTCTCTTCCTTCCTTTGTTTCTTCTTTTTTTCTTTCTTTCTTTCTTTTATTTTTTTCCCCCTTGTTTCTTTCCTTCCTTTCTTTTTTCTTTTTTTAAAGTGGGAGAGACTCAAGTTTCTCAATGTCAATGAGGAGGAGCTAGGAGGAAGGGAAGAGTTGAAGACTCAGCAGGTGATGGGGACAAGCCTGAGGGCGCTGGGCAGGGGGATGCAGTACAGAGCACGAATGGAGGGGGAAAGTGAGGGCAAAAGGAGGGACCCCACCCCAACAGAGACAGGAGGACTGTGTAAGGACAGAGGCAGACAAGCTTGGAAGGTATTTTTGACAGGAAGTGGAGGGAGTCCATGGTCTGTGAAGCCAAGGTCATGCACTGGGAATAAGGGGAGATGGCAGAATTGCAGATTTGGGAGACGTGTGGGTGCTGAGCCATACTATAGACAGATGGATGGGTGGGTGAGATGCGGCAAAGGAGAGTGACTTGGGAAACACAGCGAGGCTGCGGGTCACACCGGAGACCTCTGCAGTGGTCCACGGCCATCTCGCAGTTTCTCTCCGGACATACCCTCCTATGAGAGGCAGAGGAAGAATGGGCCTGTGCACAAGATGACAGAGGAGAAATGGTGCAAGCGAGGACTGTTCTCCCTTAGTTGTCTGTGTGCGATAATCACAGAACCTTAGAGCAGGAAGCGGTCCTGGGGATCCTTTAGTAAAACCCTCTCATTTCACCGCGGAGCAAACTGAGAATTGAGAGGTTAAGTGACTTGCCTAAGCTCAAACAGATGCAGAGCCGCAACTCCAACGCTGGCCTTTTCCTTTCCAGATCGGTACACTCTTAGGACGGTGACATGATGTGCCAGGAGACACACTTGGCAGGAGAGGAGCATAGATGAGATGGCCGGACGCTGAGCGAGAAGGTGGCCTGGAAGAAGGAACAGACAGACTTCGGTCCATGTGGG